TCAAGGTTTCTAGCTTGTTGGTGGATGTTGACTCCATTGAGACGTTTACTTCGAACGAAATTAGACTGAGAGTCTGTGCTTGGGGGAGGTTAGGAGTTCGCTTCTGTTGCGTTGTTGTTGAGAAGGGGATATGTGCCGTTGGGTAATCATGATATAGAGATTGAACTTGCCCTGCCGTCATGTTCACTAGGCAGAAGGTTGGTGGTGCCGTGGGAATGTTAGGCTGCCGTTTGATGATGTAAGGACATCTTCTTTCATGCTGCCTTTGCGTGGACTCCCCTTGCTTCTTTGTATTTGTGTTGTCCTTGTTGTTTTGTGTCAGGGCCTTCCTTTCCCTTCAAACTTACTTGATACAGCATTCAGAAACGCCTCAAGCTCCATCAGACTCTGCACCAAGTGGGGCCTAGAATATATAAAGAGGCCTCCAGCTGCGCTACGATGCTGTGTCTATCAGATCCTATACGTATGGGAGCGTCTACAGTACGTCCCTCACATATTCTATCAATCAGTATACATAGGAGAATGCTAACATGAGTCACAGCTGAATTCCGTGCACTTTACTAGGTTAGAGCCAATTCAATTAGGGCATTCCACATAAAATACCCGTGGCAAGTTTCTTTAGACAGGATACAGGAATTATTACATTACATTTCATGGTCGAGATTACACTATTATATGTACGGTACAATGTCCATCATACAACCTGGAGGTAAGCTGTGAGCGAAACCTCAAATTCAGATCACGCCCCAGAGATTCCCCCACCCAGGCTTCTGTTGAGCACCATCTCTGGCGGTTGCGCGGTCCTTAAGCTCGTCCAGTTTTCGAATCTTCTCTTTGACCTCGATAATATTTGACAGATCTTCGAGCTCCCACCGGATGTTCCGCCAGCCTCCGGAGCGGTATGCTTTGATGATGAACCATAATGGAATGAAGCACAGAGGCTATGTTGTCATTCGTTAGCACCTAGACCTTCATAGAACATAGATACCGTCTGCTCTGACAGGACTCACCGCTAGATACGCCGAGAGAAATAGGGACGCATGGAAGCCATGCCACAATGCTGCTCCATCGGCAACAATGAGCGTAAATAGACAACCCCCTAAGGCGAGATACATTGTGACCGGTTGGCCGTGGGAGCGCCAGGGATAATAGTCTGGGGCGCCGGGATGACGGAAGCGGCAGACATGTGCGAATTGAGGAGAATTATGGAGCTCGACTTGGTGTACCTTCATGCTGTATACAGTTAGTAACGCTTGTGTCTACAAAAAAGAATATTAATGTTGATCAAACGATATAGTGATCACTCACCAATTATAGAAGCGTATAAAAGCCCAACATTCACAAGCCCAGACAATGAGGCAGCTGACTGAGCCGAGTTGGGATAATACCTCGAGGAGCTGCTAGCTGTCAACACATACTCTGCTCACGATGTATCAATAGTTCGAGTAACACTGTACTTACACTAGCGATAGTGGTCCCCTTCGCATTATTCGGCGACAGGTATAGAAACGGCACCCACAGGAAGCAGCACGAGAGAAACATGGCCCGAACTGGAACCTGGTAGCTGTTCGTCTTCCCGAAGAATGCCAGCCACCGCCACTGCTTCCCGTATATCTTTCGGGTCAAACCAAAGAGCGTTCGGGACGCGACATACAGGTTTGTATTGGCGCAGGTCAGGGCAGTGAATAGCAGAATGACGTTGAAAAGATCTGCCAGCCCTTTGATCCCAGATCTCTTCGCGCTGACCACAAAGCCAGAATCACTTGGTCTGTCGGTCTTTGGGCCGGGGTGACCCAGCCATCCAGCTTGCGGTAATTCATCAGAGTCCCAAGGTATATTCAAGGTCATCACAAAACCGGCAACGAAATAGGCGATCCACGCAATGAAACTTGTCCAGGTGGCAGAAAAGCGAACGGATATGAATGGCCATGGCTGTTTCAGTTCTTCATTTAGAGGGTCCTCCGCCGAGATCCGCTTGTTGTCAGGACGTGCTTCGAGCGCCGTGGCGGCTGCAATGTCGACACCTATGAAGGAGAATGCTGCAATGGAAAGGGAGATGCTGGGTACTGTTAGTACTCCTATTGATCATATTTTGGGTCTGAGGGGTGGCACACAATAACGCGGTCGCCCAGTTTCCCGCCGCTCTCTCATCATACTGGAATATAGACGAGTCGCGGTAATCTACAAGTAAGTGAGAACTCGAAATAAGAAGATGCTGTCCGAACGACTCACATTTAGTACCAATGTGGTGTTCATTTCCACCTGTATACTGTCAGAGATAGGGTATTCTGGGAACACGTGCTCTTACCTCCAACGTTAATGACAATCATTGACACAGTAACAACAATGGCGCCGAGGATCTTCAGAGAGCCTCCAATTACCTCAGTCAAACCATATACCTAAATCCAATGGTTATAAATATTCAGTGCATGAAGGGGCTGAGGGACATACCTGTACGCCAAAGCTATTAAGCAGCACCAGGAACAGGGGCACTATGAACAGAATGACAGTGCCCTGTATCGCCTTGCTTGTGTTCCAGAATTCAACCTCGCCCGCAGCAGCCACAATCATTGCAGCAAAGTTCAAACAATAAGATACCCTGTATAGAATGGCCGTTAGCTGCACGTTTGCGAAACAGCCTTACTCCGCCCGGTCAGCGAGACCCACCAATATGCGATACCAACTGTAGTACCCAGGTCTTCATCAACAAATGTCCCGACGAACTCCACGAGCGCTCCGGCGACAGGCCATATCGCGAGGAACTCTCCGATGCATTGCATGACCAACCAGGCTAGCAAGCCCATGGCTGAAAACGATATCAGGACTGCTGCCGGCCCACCGATCCGCAGTATAGATCCACTTCGTAGATAAAGCCCAACGCCGAGGACGCCGCTAATGGTAATCATCTAGTGAGAAAGACAATCAGTTAGTAAGTTTATTTCAAATTACGGCCAATTACTCACAAACACATGGAACCCACGTAGTCGTCGACTAGAATGTGGCAGCAAGGTTAGCCAATAGCTCCCTGAACATGCACATCAACTCGTGTTTAGGTAACCCCTTACTTCACGGTCCGATCTTTCTCATCGAGGAATACCTGATCGGACCCTGCGCCATCGCGTGGATCCACAACTACTGTTACACTCTCCGGTTGTCTGAAGGATATTGAACTGAGTGAAGGTTGTAGATGTGTTTCCGACCGTCGCGGCTCTGACGTCCCAGGCGATGTTCCGAGTGAAGGCACAGCAAGCATTTGCGGAAACCAATCGATTTGGCTCATATCCAGCCCATCGTGATCTGCACTGCCGTGGGGAGCCATGTTGTCGCAACCTCAGCCTTAAGTCCCAAGTGGCATGATGTAAATAGAGAATAAAGTGGCTATACCATGGCAAAGAGAGCGACGAAAGCCACAGGGAGTTGAGGGCGAGCTCGAGGGATCATGCATGAGGCTGGTGCGTGCTCCGGGGATTGTAGTGCGACGCTACGGATAGCCAAATACGAGGCCTGAGGGGAACCCGCGCCCACGAGGCTGAGAAGCACGGTTTCTGCGGGGGTGTTGATAAGCCTCGGAATTACTGATTGGACTGGAGAACCGTGCAGCAAAATACACCTGTTCAGTGTGAAGGGCCACCAACCACAGCACTGCTTGGATCGCAAACATCTTCCTATCCCGATAACAACCGAGATGACAGGCTCGCCACAACAAACAAAAATCAGTAATAGAAATCATTACCCTATCGAGCACCCAGCAGAGCCCCAGGCTGTCACCCACCATTAAATCTGCTGTTAGCCTCGTATACCACGCGGGATGTTGTGAACCCAGCCAAATTATCGCAGGACTGACTCCTTCCTCCATCCAACCTTAGCACGCTTAAGCATCCTGTGAGCGTATTCCTCTCCCATATCGATAGTACTTGCAACCACAGTAGACTGAATATGTTCAAAAGACTCTCTTGGACACCTACATTCCCTCAATCAAGTACATCAACCCCCTCCCCTCCACCAGAGATGCGGCGACAAGATGCACCCAGCAATTATCTACGACGTGAAAGTCTCCAAGCCCTGCTGGAACGATTGTTCCCTGATCACCCAGGGCTGAACTTTCACATTCGAGTAAGAATTCCCGAAGATATTCAAAAAGCCATCTGGTAATCTTAAGTTGTGCAAAGATCGATGACGAAGTTTGGTCCTTTGACGCACCACGAGAGGTGACCCGAGTAAGTTCCAGTTCCACTTTCCTAAAAGCTTTTTTGTTGGGTCTGTGGCTGACATCGAGTAGCAGGAGCTCAGGTAGGCGTTCTCCGGACTGCAAAATGAGCCCGAGGCTGTGCTAAATAGCTGACTGATGACACGTTACCGGATCCAGGGAAGCGTCTGATTGACCCTGCTCCCCTTGAGTGGTCAGGCTGAAGTGGCAGTGGCTGATGGGAGTGAGAGTTCTGGAAGAAAGCGCTTGGCCTTCTTTGAGCAAGGATTGGCGGCGCAGGGCGCTTGGCCATCGTGTTGCTGAGTTTTTTAATCACCTGTGTTATTGCGTGACAATGGGTAGCATAATATAAACACTATGTTCTGGGCCCTTCTAGTTTTCTAGTTTTCAAGATTCAAGAGAATATTACTTCAGTTTCGTTTGCGGTAGATCCGATTGTTCAGCCATCACGATGATTGCACATACCCAAGATGTTCAGACTTCTCTACCCCACCTATTGGACCCTTTCAGTCTGGTCCCATACGCAGATGATCTCTGGCATGTAGCAAAGTCTCGCAAGTGCTTTCAGGATGATGAATCGAAAGTCCAGGTCGACTGGACTGATAGCGATGCAGAACACCAGGGTTCGTGTACATAGGTTAGCCTACGAATTGATGCTCAGGCTAACCATCAGGGAGCAGTAACAAGAAGAACATTCACATCATTGGCTGAGCTACAAGCACACAGAAAGAAGGCCTCTACGGCGCCAAATGGATTGTGTTTTATGTAGGCCATCGATTATGCTGGCTACATCAAAGCACCGAATTTAATGAGATCGCAGATCTATCAATCAAGGGAACTCATGGCGACCCTTAAACGTCACCAAGGAGATGTTCGAGGACATTGGAAACTTGACTAGCTCTTCGCATGTACTGCACAATCTCTCGTTGTCTTTCCACGACAAGTTTATGGCTACGGAAGCGGCTTTTAGCAGCGCACCCGCATTTATTCGGAATGAGCAAAGTATAGGTGAGTTTACAACCCCTACTTATGAGACTTTACTGCAGCATAGGGGCTAATGCCCATACATTAGAGATCGCGTATATATTCAAGTACCCCTTTAAAAAAGCCAACAACGACAGACCGGACTCATGGACAGTGCGACAAACAGGTGTCTATCAGAAGTTTGATACAGCGACGAAGCATTCCACATGGATATTTTTAAACCCGACTAAAGACTGCCTGTTTCAGCAACGGCTGATGGAGATACTTATGTGTCCTCTCCAGTGTGCTCAGTTAACACAACACCCACTGCTAATCCATAATCTCCTCTTCGCTACGTTCTTCCCCAACTGGAGGGAATATCTAGGTTCGCAAGAGGATAGGGCTTTGACGATTGTAGGTCAAGAATACTGCTATTTACTAAAGGTGATGCTAACCAGCTCGCTCAGTACAACACAACCGTGACACAACACATCCAAGAACCACTCAGGGTCAATCATAACATGTGGGCCTCTATTCGCGCCATAGAATCTCGGTGCCTGCCTCTGCAAGCTGTCTTTCGCTCCTTTGACAAAACAGTACAGACCTTGCATAAGGCAAATAATGCATTAAGGGATTGCGGTACCTTGCATCATCTATCATGGCACAAAATGGATCAGTTACTAGATAACTATGAAAGCCATGCGGATGCCTACCTACAGGCTGCATCATTTCTTCAAAGTTGGACTACCACCACGGCCCAGTTAATCGCAGACAACCTTTCATTCAACAATTCCTATACGGCACAGCAGCAATCGGACTATATGTTGAGCCTCACTTCATCCACCGTTGACGACTCGTCGACAGTCCGAGTTATCACTGTTGTAACTCTCATTTATCTACCGTCCACTTTTATGGCAGTATGCTTCCCCTTGCAGACCTGCTCGTGTTGGGAATACAGCCGTATCGCTGACATAGTTTCTTGATGCAGACCCTCCTCGGAATGAACTCATTCTTTGAGATGGATTCTCAAACCCATAAGCTCATTGTGTCTCCACAGTTTTGGATATTCGTAGTGTGCGCCGTGCCCCTGACGGCTGTGACAGTGCTATACTGGTGGATTCGGAGCCAACGTCAGCAGAAGCATGCGAACAGCAAGGCTGGGTCGCCGGCTTGAAGTGTTGTGCAACATCTGCCTCGGGTCGGATTGGTGTGCATTATTAGAAACACAAGCATGCCGTTACTGGTGGTTTGAATGCAACACGTCATTTAGTATATAGAGGTACAAACGCTTTGTATGAGAGCGAGTCTCATGTTCCGTCTGGAAGCTTCACAGCCAGGAATTCACCCCTTGCGGTGGCCACTACCAACACAATCTGCCCCCTTGTTGTGCGTGTCAGTACAGCGCTGTCTAGAGCTGGCCTATACTGGTTCAGGTTACTGAGCGCTACTTTCGCTGGTTCGGGCCTGCCCGAAATGGGGATCGGCAAGACATAGGTGCGAAGCCGACGATCGCTCCCATTATCACCTAGTATAATCAGGGCCTCGTCATCATCACGCACGAATACGTTCACTGCCTGGTTAGGGAGCGTGTGAACCTGGCGATCCCAACGCCAGGAGCTGAGGTGGAGAAGGTATTTCCGTTGACAAAGTATAAATAGCTGTGGTTCCCGATTGAAGACAGAACATGCAGTGTAGAGAGGTTCATCCACAGAAGCTGCCCCCTGTATGTGAGATTTTGACGGTTAGCCTCGCGGCTTTCCGAAGGGGAGAACGACATGTAGACATACCTGAAACCCTATTTTCAAATTTGCGCAGGAGATACCGCTATATGTGTCCCATGCTCGAACCAAAAGGTGTACAGGATCTACCTGGGAAACCATGATCAGGTAGTGATTATCGTTAGAGAATCTTAATGAGCGGATTTGCGTCGCTGGGCCGACCATCGAATCACGCAAGATGATATTTCCGCCACTAGTGATGCTATCAGAATCTTGGTAGGATACCGCAGAGTTTGATCGGCTTGATGGAGGTGAGCTATGTCTGCCTCAGATTAGAATAGAACGTTGTGTCCAAGTAGCAGTTGGCATTACCCTTCGCTTGCATTGTTCAGGAGATTCTGTGTAGTTGACAGATATAAGAGAGCATCTGAATCAGAGTCTCCGGGGTTTCGCGTGACGATGAATGCTGTTAGAAGCCCATCGGCGGACATGGCAACCTTTTTGATAGAGCCCATGTGCGGATAGTGGACTCTTGAACCCTGGAGGATGCTATTTCCTTGCGACTCGGATGAGATGGTGGTTTCGTAGAAGATGCACTAAGAAGTTAGCTATCGCGATCCCACGTTGTAGATATTGAGGAATGGCTAAGTACCTCGAAGCATGTCGTAGCGAGGCAGGCACAGAGAAAGCCCGAGCTACTCGCAACGCATTCCAAGGATGCCCTAGCAATATTTATCACTCGCGGTTTCGGGAGCCGCTCTACAGAGGACAGGATTTCGTCGAGGAAAAACACTTGCACTTTCTGCTGAGATTGGAACAGCAAAACATCGCCGCCCGGTGCAAACGCGGTTCCAAGAATGGGCATGCTTGTCTCAATACGGAGTTTCTCATAGCTAGGAGTATAGGCTGAAGAGAATGAAGGTCTCGCAGCCGCCACCTGCTCCGTGTTTCCGATGATCTTCGATGAAATACGCCGCTTATTGACGCTAGAGTATCCTCCACCTCTCTAGAAGTAACGCGTTGATCCCGAATAGGGTGCAGCACATACTTCTGCAGAAAGTCGAGTGTTCGGTATACAATCTCGTGCTCCATCGCAAACGAACTTGCTCGAGCTCTGTGCTTTAGCTTCTCGTACCACGCAATGACTACCGGTGAAAGCTTTGGCTTCCCATGTCGGATTGTATAGAATTTGTCCCCGTGGTCCTGTCTGCGTCGTTGCCTCGCAAATGCCACCACGCCGCTATATCCCGAATCAATATAAGACATCACCAGACTGATGATGCAGCCGAGCGACCAAACATCGCTGGCAGAGCTGACCCGGCCACTAGGTAATGAACATTCCGGGGCAAGGTAAGTACCTTCGCCTCTTCGATTCAACGTCGATGGCTCCTGAAGTCGCCTCGGTCTCTTATGGCCTCTCCCCATTATAGGCATCACGAGCTCCACATCTGCTTCACCATCTAGCCCTCTACCCTTGACACGCGATAGTCCGAAATCCGTAATTTTCCAAGTCTCGGACGGGCTATACGCATCGAAGACAAGTATATTGTGTGGCTTCAGATCAAGATGGTAGCATGAAAATACCTCCAGTTTTTGATCGCGAAATTCATGGTGAAGGAACGCCAGTGCTCCGGCTAACGTTACTCCACGCGAGTAGATGTCCTTCTTTTCTTCCCACGTAGACGGAGGAAAGCGATCTTCAGAGTAAACTCCGTTCAGGTATTCCCATAGGTTGCAGGACGCGAGTGGAAAAAACAAACTATACGTGGGTCCATATTGCAAACTCGCCAGCGCCACCATGATATTCTTGTGTCGACGTGGCTGATCCAGGATCTTGTTCAGAATCTGTTGCTCCCCTCTACCCTCTCGATCTAACTGAAAGTCTTTTCGCGCAAGCTCCAATGCTTCGGTGGTGGTTGTACGATCGGATCGTGACTGGAAATGTTGTTCTTCAATCCGTACCCTCCACACTTGACCGAAAGCGCCTTCCCCGATCTTTGTCTCCTCGAGATACGGCAGTGGGCACTGGAATCGATGTTGCTCGTATACGACTTCTTCGCGCTTCATCAGCGTAACGGCGCAGAACCGAAATTGTTTGTGGTAAAATTCGACTCCTTGCAGGGGAAAATGGCTGGTCGCCATCTCGAGGGAGATAGGGAGGTCTGTATCGGTGAACTGACGTGGAGCGACATGGTCAGCGCCTGTCTCAAGTGCGAAATCCACGAACTGTCGCAGAACATCTCTCTCCTGGCGCCCGCGGGCGAATAATAGGATTGCAAAAATCAAGCTCAGGTCTGTTAACGTTCTTCGTAGAATGTCCGGTACGTGTGTGAGGGGAGTGCCATTAGCCTGACACAAACATCGCAGCAGTTCTCGCAGGTCTTGCTGGTTGCTTTCAAAGACCTTTTTCACGGTGCCATTGCGGAAGAACCGATGTCGGTTATAGTTGACCGAGGAATTTTCCTTTAGTCGAGTTGTAAATCGCTCGCAAAGCGAGCCGATCACCGCGTCAGTCATGGGCGCCGATATCAAGACGCTCTCGCGAGCCGTGGCAGTAAAGGGTCGTTTTCATCGTGCGTGGTTGTCAGTGTTCGGGAATCCCCGCATGCAGGAAACAATGGGGATTAATCTCTTTGCGCAGGGGCCGCGTGTGGCTGATCCGTCGTCACCTTGGCCTTATCGTTCATATCATTAGCGACGACCACTAGGTGAGATCAACGCCTGCGACTAGTACCCGATCACGCGTCCATTTCACCCGAGGCGCAGCGCTTGCTAATCCATTCAAATGGACACTTGGCCTCCTATGGGGCGAGTCGCAATTTAGGCATCTGGTTTACACCATGTGCAGTCTAGATATTGGAGGATAGAAATGGACCCTTTTCAATCAGGGCCCCAAGCATCACGTGTCCGTGTCATGAGTTTAATACGATCGATAAATACAACTCCGTCCTGTCTTGCGTATTGTTGTGAAATGCCCATTCGTGCCGTCTTTACTGGCCTAATCCTGACGCTAGACTCCTTGTAGATCTAGTTGATACCCTGCGTATTGAACCCCAATTATCGTGACGAAACTGTTTCGCCCACTGTAAACTATTCAAAACATCAGTCTCAATAAACAATAACTATTTAATTGGAACATATACTATCTCACTGAGGATTGAGATACTTCAGACCCTCTCTGTATGCAAATAACCAATACCTCGGCTACAAAATATAAAGTCTTCTCTTGTTATGATACCGGATCAGTGTATGTACTTCCAAAGACAAGGCCATACTCTCCTATACAGATATAGTGTCAGGGGATTACTGCCTGCCCGCCTGATCCTGATTCCTGCCCTTTACAGTGATTGACCGTAGTTTGTGTGTATCTAGATTGTTTACATTTATTATTTTCTATTACAGTTCTTTTCTTCGTTGTTTTTATTATTCTAAATGAAGCCTTAAGTGTTTGATAGTATGACTTTGAGAGGGCGGGAAAAGGGCCTTGAATCTCAAGAGCTTTGAAGAACGCGGGAGTTCACGCAGCAATAAGAGAGCCATGCTCCATGGTAACTGTTTATTATATGCTGAAAACCTATATAACACTAGGAAATTCAAGAAATCTTACTAGTACTGACTCTGTTTGTAATATGATCAAGAAAAACCAGGGGATATCATTCTGTCATGCCAAATATATATACACACGCCATGTCTCGAATGTCTTCTCCTAGGATGATCGATGCTCCGGATATCTATTGGCCACTTTGAAAAAATCTTTTACTTTTCCTACAACCATATCATTAATTGGGTTTGGAATCCACCTCCCTACAAGCGCCTCTAATATATTGGGTGCCTCGACGCGTTTTGCAACTGCTGGGCAGCCGGCTGGCCGGACCCGCGGTCCGTGGGCCCCGACAGCCCGGGATGCAAGTCAGTCAATCTTCCTCGGCTCCATATAGCTGGGATGTTACGAGGGTAATACCTTGTACTTGAAACAAATATCAGGGCGGGAAAGTCATAGATTTGTCTTTGTTGGATTGCTAAATATGTCTATGAACAAGAAATCGTTTCATTTAGAGGGTAAAATTAGGAGAGGCAATTCAAGCTCACGATGTAAGTGCGACAAAATTTCAGCATAGCCAGGCTCGTTGTCAGCGCGGAGGATGCCATGCGAAATGAGGAAGTCGACAATAACAACAGCGCTATTTGGCTTGAACAGTCCCTCTTTCAGAGCACAAAGCACTTCCTCGATAGTATATAAGCTAAAACCCTCCACTTCGGAGTCCCTTGGCTCAGGGGCCGTGCCAGGATCTAACTCGAGTTTGTATGTATACTCTACCTCTGGTTGAAATAGGCCGATCTCTCCTCCAGCCTTACTCCCACGGACGTGGAAATAAGTGAGGTTGCTCATGGGTATAACGTTCCTCCTCACCATTTCTTCGGGAAAGGACGCTTCTTCTTGTGCTTCGCATATAAGAGCTTCAATCGGGAGCTTTCCAGCAACGAGGCCGCCAGCTGCAGTGGTGTCGAGCATACCCGGGTAAGTTTGTTTGCGTTCTGATCTCTTGCCGATCCATAATCGAAGGCCTTGCTCGTCCCACACGTAGCAAACAAGCTGGACACCGTATGTCACAATCCCAAATAATGCACTTGCACAACGTTCTATTTCGAGCAAAGTTTCTCCCCCTGGACCATAAATCGGGAAGGCTTCGTCTCGCCAGCTTTCGAGCATCGATATGACAGCTAGCTTTCTGGTATTCTTGAGAGTTTCCTCAACTACGCGAGAGCGCATGTCGGCTGGAGCTGTAGCCGGCGTTGCTAAAGTCACCGTGCGTCGGTGGTGATCAATTGACCACCAGCCAGACCACTGGACTTTTTCAACAACCTCGGGGAGAATATACCCCAGTATGGCACAGCAGCCATTCACTCTAAAGGTGTAGCATTGTCCCAGAGTCTCTGGCTGAGATGGGGATTCATCGTTTGAAACGAAACTATGAAGAACGTCAGCACTGTAGGCATACGACGGGAAGATATATCCTCATGACATACTTACTTGTCGCATCCCTTGACCACGTCGAGAATGGTTTTCGACATCTTCAAAGATCGAAATCCGTAGAAGCCGTTAGACTGCGAAGTACTCCGTATTGAGAGACGGAATCAACAACCTGCCACCGTGGTTTGATCGCCACTTGGCGAATACAAGCCCCACATCCTATGGCCAGTAAAAACGACTAGGCGCAGGGGTGGGAATAGCTTATCTGGTCAACTACCGGTTAATAGCCTTTATTTTCTTGCTTGACACGTCATAAAGTCTTCTCGAAGCATACACAACCAACAAAACACTTCCTTATTCCTCGGTGTAACGAAAGCTTGAAGCATCTTACTGTAAAGCACCTAATCTAGGTGATACAAGGCCATGTATTAAAAGATCAATACTACCCGTGAGATACCTTTCACGGTACCGCACTGGATAGCCTAGGGTCCCCGCGTGCGTCATACTATAACATCAACATTAAGCGAAGATGCAATCATATTGTAAGCTACCTGCAGCAGAATACCACAGTAGTCCTCCATTTATTCTTGTCAGCTCGTGGGCACAGCCCCACAAACTTAATACATCAGCCTGCCAGGTTTCGGCTACGGTATACCGTATATATATGCACCATTTCGTATCTCCCGGTTGTGCATTTATTTGCATTGCTCAAAGATATCTTCAAATACTGTCTCCAGTCGGCAATATTCAATAGATTGATACCATGGCAACCAATTACAGCAGTCTTGGCCAGTGGGAAGCAGAGCTAAATATAGGTGATGTTATAGGGCCGGATGCAAAAGAGCTCCTGGAGATGTATTCTGGAATCTGTCCCACTGAAGTCAATCACCAAGTGGCAAAAGTTGTAAGTGCCTGGGCCCAGGTTCGATATGCACATGAACTGCGCTGACGTAGACATACTTTCTGATGCGCAGGCGAAGCAAGGCTGCGAGATCACAAATTACCCATGTTTCCGGCTGGTCACCTTCCTCGATCTAGAACTGTCGCAGTCACCTGCGTACGCGAGAATTGTCAACCGAATTAAGCAAGGAGCGTTGTTCATAGACCTAGGCTGCAGACTTGGCCAGGATATCCGGCGGCTGGCGTATGACGGTGCGCCACCCGGAAACCTGGTGGGCTTGGACCTTCGCAAAGAAGTTGTCGAATTAGGGTATGACTTGTTTAAGGACAGTGACACATTTAAGGCAAGGTTTATTGTGCAAGACTTCTTTCAAGACACACCGGTGTTTCGAGAAATGATAGGCAATATCGAAATCATCAACTCCGGCCTTTTCATGCATCTTTGGAACTGGGCTGGACAAGTCCGGATCGGTCGGGGAATGGTTGAATTGCTGACCCATCAAGGCGGTTTAATCACAGGTGTGCATTTTGGAGGTCAGGATTCTGGTATTAACAAGACTGAAGACTGGATTGAGAGATTTGTTCATACTGAGATGTCTTTTCGACAGATGTGGATAGAGATCGAGAGACTGACAGGAGCTCGCTGCAACTTGGCTCTCAGAGCACAGGAAGATAATCGCTACACAATATCTGACCAGTCGTCACTTCGCCTGCAATGGGTTGTTGAAGTCCAGAAATAAAGCCTTAGATATAATTTCCCACAGGACACTACACAGCGAACCGAGTGCTTGGAAGCACGTGGTGACAGACGCCGAGTAAAGGATGGTCTTAAGACACGTTCATACGTATGCCTTTCTAAGCCACAAGCCCTATGAAGCCGCATTATATGTGCGATTCATCCTTTTTCACAATTGACTAACCTGCTCACCAGTCTGAGTCGAATGCCTGATCCAACAAATCTCTGTCACAGCTCGCTCTACCCAGATAACTCACAGTGGACACTGGCAGAGCCTCGAGCTATGCACTTGGATTTGTGGGCTTGAAATGGGTAATTTGATTGAAACATAATGTATAACTACCACACCGACGGCATAAATACCTAGTTCAAAATGGAAATCTTTATGACTGAGTACAACGTAATTCTTTTCTTTGAAAATAAGGATACAGTTGATCATAATAAATAAATACCCAAGCTTTCTCACGGCGCTTTTTCCGATTGTGAAGCTTGATCTTGTTTCATCATTCTCTCTCGACGCCAATCATGTCCCCATTCTATAAGGACCATAGCAAAAGGTTAAATCACGTCCAGTTGAATAGCAAGAATATTCCCGCCCATCCACTAGCAATAGCATCAATAAGTGAAGCTGCAACAACTCCAGCACCTAGAGGACACCGATAGAGATTTCTGGCGAAGATTACAGTCGCAGGCCGTTGTGCATGGACCTTAGTGAGTGGTCATATTGTTTATATTTTCCATCTAACATGGGATGACTAGGCTATTCCAGCTCACGTACGTTCTGCAGATACTTGGACTAGTGATGGGGTGATTATATCTCTTGATATGCCAAGAAGCTATCAAGGCTCATGAAAAATATTATAGTCCAGTCATTGGTGCAAAAACTGATCTGAGAATCGTGGTAATTTTGCGGGGTATATTATCAACCCCAGCTTTCGGGTATCATTATCCCGAGGGTATATAAACACGGGCTTCCGAGCATGCAAGATCACATCTGATGCTGTAGAGATAAGGATACCGCCACTATGCTTTTGAATGCTATATATGTACTTCTCATCGCATCAGCTCCTGCACTGGGGAGCATTGACCGGTAGGTTAACTGCGACCTTCATCTCACCTGTAGTCGTATTGGAGCTAAATGAGCAGACAACGTATCGTGTCCAAATACAACGTAGTCCGCTCGAATCTGATCACCAACGAGACGACGCCTCTCCAAGTGGGCAATGGTAATTTTGCGTTTAATGTTGATAACACAGGCTTACAGGTAGGAGTCCCCGACGCATAACTTCTGATATGGTGACTCACAAAGCAAGCAGACATTTCTCCCATTCAACACACTGTCCAGCTGGGGCTGGCATAATGATTCTCTACCAAGCAATGGGTATGTGGACCTTCAAGAAGTCAATCTTTGCCTTGACCTTCCTGGTTTGGCTAGTCTAGTTCTTCTGATGTCTCTTCAGGGAGAAGCTTGAGGATTACCATGGAATCTCTATGCTAACACATGGACGGAACGTCTCATACGATATCCCCGACCCTGACCTCCCTGAAGTTTCACAATGGCTCACTGCCAATCCCAATCGCATAAACCTAGGACGCATAGGATTACAGTATAAAGGGTCACTTGTCTCTGCATCTCAAATTACAGAGCCACGACAAGAGCTCGACTTATGGAAAGGAGTTATTACCTCGACTTTCAAGGTTGACGGCCAAATTGTCAAGGTGGTCACCCAAGGCGACTTCGATTCCGACTCGGTAGTCTTTGAAATTGAGTCAAGTCTAATCGCATCTGGTGATTTGGCTGTCGAGCTAGACTTTCCATATCCGCCCATCCATTCTACCAAATATAAATACGAGGTCTTCGTTGGTGTCTACGATTTCCCGGGAAATCATACCAGTGCCATTGAAGAGTACAGAGGCAACATGGCACATATTCGACACGAGCTGCAGGAGACAAATTACTACCTCAATCTGCGATGGGGTTCTGGACACCCACTACACCTTTCTCGTCAACACAATGCAACCCACAAGTACACTCTAAAATCCAAATCGTCATCGACAATGACATTTGCGGCGAACTTTTCGCCAGGAAAGCGAATGGCTGATTTACCATCCGTGATCCAGGAGCGTAGCTCCACGGCTTGGAGCAAGTACTGGACTCAAGGAGGATTTGTCGATCTAACATCCTCCTCTAACCCCAAAGCAGACGAGCTGCAGCGTCGCATCATTCTATCACAATACCATGTGCGGGTGAACAGCGCAGCCAAGGGACAGTCACCTCAGGAGAGCGGTCTGATGAACAATGGGTGGTATGGTTAGTATATACCGGTTATTTCAGTTGAATGTCTAGTTACTAATAGTACGTCCAGGGAAGTTTCACATGGAAATGGTAGTATGGCACAACGCGCACTGGGCGACATGGGGTCGACAGGAACAATTTGACAACATCTTCCCAGAATTATACAACGCATTACTACCATCATCAATCGCACGGGCAAAGTCTATGGGTTGGGATGGTGCACGGTCTGCTATCACTAATTCTTCCAACGCATCACATGAACTGACACCCTTCAGGTGGCCGAAGATGACTGATGTTGAAACCGGAGTGAGCTCTCCAGGTGGTATCAACGGTCTTCTATTGTGGCAACAGGTGAGCTTAATATGTCAGAAAGGGGACATTGTACTAATAAAGGCAGCCTCATCCCATGTACCTGGCAACTCTGGCTTATCAAGCATCCCCGACACGCAAGACCCTTGAAAGATGGGACCGCGTTCTGACGGCCACAGCTGATTACATGGCCTCTTATGCCTGGAAGAATACAGCTCAGGCTATTACGATCTGGGACCACCGTATGTTAATTTGTCACTAGAATATCTACCTATCTAACATTCTCAGGGCATATGGTGTGACTGAGAACACACCTCCTTCTGAAAGCCTCAATCTTGCATATGAGGTTAGCATAGCCTAACTACGCCGGTATATCACTGATGTTAACATATTCTCAGACCGCCTACTGGAGATATGGGCTTGACGTCGCGCGTGAGTGGAAAAAGAAACTTAACCAGCCAGTCCCCGATAAATGGACAGTAGTTGCGGAAGGGCTCGCTCCACTCCCGCTAATTGATGGTTTGTATGCTGTTTACGAAAGACTGAACAGTTCATGGTGGAATGATAGCTCTCTAACTGGGGACCCTCGGAGCCTGATCATGCTTCAAGGTATCCTCCCTAACACGCCAGCAGTTGACCCGGATGTTGCTTCGAACACAGCAGAGAAGGTATGGGAAGTGTGGACCGACGACAAGATAAGAGGATGGGGTAGACCGGTACTTACAATCAATGCGGCACGGCTGGGAGATCGCGAGCGAGCGATATACCACCTGACCGCATATGATTATTGGAATTTTGATGATGCTGGTGCGTTGTCATCTAATAGTGTGTATTGAGCATAATCACTAATGAGTCTATTTTAGGGTTTGCCGAGCGTGGAGGAGATGGTAAGTCATGATACAATCTGAAATAATGCTGTTGTTAACCCAAGCGTCGAATATAGGAGGAACCCCTCCTCCCTTCATGCCTGGTAATGCTGGGCTACTTTATGCTGGTAGGTGCACTATACATACAAACGCGAAATAGTGATAACACTAATAATTTTAGTGGCATACATGGCTGCCGGTTGGGAAGGATCTCAGGGCGACGCTCCCGGCTTTCCTCAGGACGGTAGTTGGGTAGTAAACCATGAAGGATTGCTCAGAGCACCGTAGGCTGCTTCATAATCGCTTCCGGATGTTATATGAAAGTGTACTATGCAGGAAACTGAGATTAAGCTATCTATTTACCCGACCAATGGATAAAAGGGAAACGTGTACTTTGGATATCCGCATGCATTTCCATCTTGTAAGCGGTATCCATGCAGCAGGTCTAGGCACAATTAAGCAATGATCACCAACATGAAACTTGTAAGTAGTTTCATATGGCGACTTGCTTGTTTTGTCACGGAACGGAAGAATGGCAAATTTCCGCGGCTATCGTACCGATCTGCCGGTCCGTCATTCAAATAGCCCTAACCCAGTTTTATAAATCGAGGTGATATTCCAGCGTAGTTTGAACAAACCAAGCTTCCAAGCCATTTACAAACAGACAAAATGTTTCCTAAGTTAGCATGTGTCCTCCTCGCCCTCGAGGCATCTGCGCAAACTTTGACATCTACTGCCGCTACCTCAACCCTGCCCACACTTCAACCAGACTGGTACTTTATCCGTGCCGTGGAAACGCCCTACTACCACAGCTACCTCCAGACCATCCCAAGTGCCACACCTGGACCTGCCTATCTAGCTTCTAACACAAATGCGGGCCAATTCAATATCGTCTCGGGTCAGCTCGTTTACGATACCGGCAACGAGCAGCTGTACATGAACGTAGAGGACCCCGCAAACAAAACACAACGAACTTTACAAACTTGGTTTAATGAAACCGAGAACGCATACGGGACTTTTGCCTTCCAAGGAGATGCGATCACCTGGACGGTAGAGGATATTGATCGGCAGAATACTGCGGCGTGGTATGTTTGTGAGGAGGATAAGCTGTATATCAACACAGGGGCTTATGGCTATGAAACACCCGATGGGTGTTATGATCAAACTGTATGATGGCTCTATCTACTCGATAATCACTGGGATGGGATACTAACAATGATAGATCCATTCATACGGAGGGTCGACACCAACTGTTTGATGAAATGTAGTAGTAGGAGTGGCGACGATTGAAGATGTGTGGGGCGGATGGTGTCAAATGGCAGGCCAATGATTAGCATTCTGAAAGTAGCCAGTGTAGAAGCAACAAATGAGAGTCTAATCCTGAATTCTATTACCATGATTACTAGTTCTGAGACAACATGGTCTGGTCTATATTGCATATTATGTCTTGCTAGACCTTACAGTCATAGCCGCAGGTGAATAGCAAGAAGCAAGTGTTTTAAAATAACAGCGATCTATACCAGCACGAAGGTGTGTGTACATCTAATCTCTCAAATACTTATATCTTGCTGCTTGATACCTTAAAGTTATTTGACCCAGATAGCAGCATAGCGATCCGCCGTCCCATCGTTGTAGGCACTAAAAGTCCTCAAGACATAGCCTTCATCACGGTACTTGTTGAACTCAGCCTGAAAGGTAGAAGAGTCGACACCATGCCTTGCCACCCACGCACCAGATGCAGATTTATCCCAGATTGCAGCATACTGGACCTCATCTCCCACTTGATACCCGTCCACATCAACAAGCCGATATCCATCCTTGACATGCTTGTCAAACGTCGCCTGGTACGCAGTGGAGTTCAGTTCCCCAGCAGAGACCCAGGGAGTATCATCATTCCGCTTTTCCCAGACAGCAGCATAGCGACTCTCATTGTCAACCTCATACCCGCTCACATGGGTCATTCTGTATCCCTCCTCCAAGTACTTGTCGAAATACTTTTGCATCCATTCTCTGTTCATTCCATGGCGCGAGATCCAGGGCAAGGATGAGTCTTTCTCCCAGATACCAGTGTAGCGGTCCTTCCCATCGATTGTGTACCCATTGACCTGGACCACGCGATACCCTTGTTTCAGGTAGTCTTCGAACTTTTGGTGGTATTGGTCGGAGGTCATGCCGTGATGAGACTTCCAAGCCGGTGAGGACCTCTTTTCGAAGATGACGGCGAAGTTTGCCTCCTTATTGTACTCATATCCGCTGACCGAGTTCAGTCTGTAGCCTTGCGATACCATTTGATCGAACTTAGTCTGGTATGCTTTGCTGTTGAGGCGGTAATAGGCATGCCATTCGTTGGCTTGGACACAGATTGCCGACGCGAGGGCAACGGCCCAGAGATGGAATTTCATGATGAAATCAAGACAGGAGTCGTCTAGGAAGTGAGAAATGTATGAAGAACTGAGTTGAAATTGTGTGGCGTCTCTATTGATTTACTGTAAGTACTTCGAGATACAAAGCTCTGGCTCAGTTTGCGTTCTTTATAGATTTTCGTCCAGTACCCTTCTCACGACTAACCCATTATGTGTCCATGATGCGAACATGAAAAGCTCTGCCATACGAGACCTAATGGGTCAGGATATATGAAGGCGGCTCTCTGAGTGGAACAGTGGAAATGACGATCAACACCAGATCATAGACAGAATATCTCGAAGGAACAGTTTATTTTTATCTCACCGACGACCATCTGTCGATCTGTCGCTAATACGAACAACAGTCCTTCGTAAAAGTGGAGCCCTCGTAACCATCATGTTTCACACCCAATTGAATCTTTACCTGAACCTGAGACTTTTGACAGAGTCACATCTTTGGCCTGGTGCCTGCATATAACTGCTTAGCGATACTACCTCACTTTTCTCTGTTCGAGGCTATCATAGGAGGGAAGGTTTCGAAGAACAGTCGACCAACCCCTAACCCTAATATCTCGCCAGCCTTCACCTCACCTGCCCCAAGATCATGAATACGAGTTATAAATTAATCTCTCCAAGGCGGTATAAATGTGATATCACCTGACTGGCGGTACCCCTCGTTTCCATCCTATATATGTACATATCTTTGTTTCCATCACACTTCCCATTCATGTCAAGTATACTCATCAAAAAATGGCTGCTGAAAGAGAATGCAAGGTCCTTACTGCAACCTGTCACTGTCGATCTGTGCATTTCACAGTTACCCTTCCGAGTGACGCTCTCCCACTGAGCGTTCACCTTTGCCACTGCAGTGTGTGCCGCTATACGCATGGAGCCCTCAGTAGCTTCCATGCCCCGCTTCCCAGAGATGTTCATCCCAAATTCATCTCACCGTCAGGCCTTGACAAGTTGACACCGTATACGCACTCGCAGTCCACATCTACTCGATTCTTTTGTAGCAAATGTGGTTGTCATGTTGGTGACCGTGATCACGCCGATGGCCGCTGGGTGGTCTCCAGCGCCATCTTCGACCACGGCGGAGACGAAAGTGTCTGGAAAATAGACTCACATATTCATGCCAACGGTAGTACTCATACCGGGCTGTTCGAGCTTGTGCCTCAGATCAAGGGTCGTGAAATTACCATTTCAACTTCGGAGAACCAGAAAGATGAGACATCCGCACAGGACAATGTGAAGGCCCAGGAATGCGAAGACGGATCTCTACGTGCTGAATGTCACTGTGGAGGTGTCTCATTCAACATCTCCCGTCCTAGTCGAGATTTCCTTCAGAATCCTGCGAATCGTAAATGGGTTCTGGAAGGGAAAGATGACAAATGGCTAGGTGTACTGGATGTATGTGATGACTGCCGCTTGGTCACTGGGGCGCATGTCGCAGCCTGGATGTTCGTCCCGGTGGACCATATATCGCCTTCACCTCCAGATGATCGAGTTATAGGGACTTCGAGACGTTATGCATCAAGTGATGGAGTGGTGAGGACCTTTTGTGGGACATGTGGCGCCGTGGTCTTCTATACTTGTAGCGATCGCCCGGAAATAGTGGACGTCGCAGTTGGTATCTTACGGGACCCAAAGTCCGTATTGGCAGAGAACTGGGTCGTTTGGAGAACTGAAAGAATTGCTTATCTAGAAGATGGCTTACGATATGATGAAGAGTTGATACAGTCTTTGGATGAGGGCTTACAGAGATGGGGAAAGGAGAAATTTGGAAAGTTGGAGTATTTTCGTGTAGGATAGTTGTGTCAATTGCTACATCACCGATGCTTATGACACAGGACGGTAGGATACCAGGTGGAGTTCATGTGCTTTTGATAGTTGGTATACTATTATATTTGACAGTTACAACCCCTTCGTCCATCGCCTGTACACAAATGGTCACGCAATAGGATCACCTGTCCTAGCCCGACAGAACTAGGACTGATCATTCCCATTATAGTTGTACTGTTACGTCCCATTTATTTGTCTTTCATAAAGTGCAAGTAGTATTTAACTACTCCATAATGAAGGGCTGTGATAGGCTCACCAATATACAATCTTGAGCTAGCCTGGATCCAGCGATCTAGAAGTGCTTGATATCGAGGTCTAAGTTTGCTATTTTCTCTTACTCGGCACCGTCGCCCTAGCAGTACTCCTGCCCAAACTCTCAGAAGGATGACTTGTTATCGAATGGCCCACCATTCAAACAAGATTCCCTTGTAAGGGTTACATTCTCCAGTTCTTGTTATAGTAGCTACGCTATATATCTACCACAAGACAACAGAGCTGAAGCCTTCTTGGCACGACGTGCATACGGATATCCAGCCGGAGCTGCGCGCCCCACATAACCCAAGTAGGTTGTACAGTAGTATATGAGCTAGCTCAAACAGCTGTCATCCATAAAACAGGTTCTGAGTTCTGAGGTAATGTGTCTTCGACGAATCTCGTTGTTTCCTGAGCTCCTAGCCGCTGTCGAAATGCATTGCCTCCCCAGCTGATGATTACCCTGGCCAATCACGAAAAGAACCTCTGTCGGCTACATTTTCCACTCTGTAGCTCTTGCATATGCATGCATAGCAGCCAGAGCTGAAAGACGCTGGTTACGTTGTGATGAGCTGGACTCAGGGCCCAAAACTTCCCCTTTTGGCGTCGTGCGCATTTGGTTCGAATTGCTATTCGTACAATGAAAATGCGGGGTTAGAAGCTGATTTCAAGCTGTGGGTGAGCTCAGCTAGCCTCGCAAGCATTAATTATATTACATGATATGAAGATGTGGGGTTTATAGGGTGTATAGGTGACGCACTACTGCCCCAAACGTCCTGTCGTAGATATAAATAAGCACAGTATCCACGAGGGACGGATATCAAAACTTTCCAGGTCGATCAATTCAATTGGGTCAGTACCCACTCAAAGTCCTGAAAAAAAGATCAAGATTTTTCTCGTGTTTCCTAGGCTTTTGTCATACCTTCTGTCATAGAGGTAATCCTTACGCTCTGTGAGGACCACCGTTTTCATATCATGGCTATCAAAACCAAACACATCCCCGTCCTCCCACGTCCAAAGTGGCTCGATGCCGCAGGGATGGGCAAAGGTATTGACCATGATCGCCAGCATCTCAACATCGTCCTTGCCGCTGGCCAAACTATCAAGGCTCGTCAAACAAATGCCGCGTTCACTGGCGAGCTCACTCTGCGCTTGTTAAATGACGATCAGAATACGGAGGCTTCCAAGAAAGTGGGTCACGACTGGGCCGAGCTCAGCGTGAGTGTTGTCTCTGTACCATTCATCGACACGGTGTACACCGATACCTCAAATGCCACTGTGGAACCGGTGGTTGAATATGAATATCCGGACGGTTCAAAGCAACTACCTGTTTATCGCAAGGGACAAAATCAGACCGACTTCTTTAATCACTGGGATAATCAGGGGTCAGAGTTCGCGCTTCTTGACTCCAGCTACACGCAAGTCCTCGTTCCCGTGATTGACAAAGAGGCGCTGAGGCACCCACAAGAGGTAGACAATATCGATGGGCTGATAGGATACTACGAATCAGTTTTTTCGTTCTACAATACATTGGCCGGTCTATCGTTCGAGCCAGAGCGTCCATCAGACCTGAACAGTACCAATCGTTATTTCATGAAGGCTGATAAACACGGCGCTGGTGGCGCATATTACGGCCAGAGCTGGACAGCAGCGTCGACGAATGCGATCAAAGAGTGGTGGCTGCTGCCGTCTCCGAGCAACTGGGGCAATCTACACGAGATCGGACACGGGTATCAGATGTCGTTCCGCGATGACCGATACTTCTGGAACGGGGAAGTATCCAACAATGTTTATGCCGCTCTATACCAGAGCGCCTATCTAGGTGACCGCAAGTATGAGGAAGGTTGGCTGTACAACTATGGCAAGCAAGCCCAGGTGGAGCAAGGTATCACGGATTATATCACGTCGCACAAGTCGCTCAATGACTGGGACCTTCGGGCAAAGCTGTACTTCTTAATGTTGATGGTGGAAAAGGCGGGTGTCGACTCGTTTGCCGATTTCAACCAACAATATCGCCTGGTTAGCAACCAGCCAAATTTCGATTCCTCCGACCATTTGCTTCTTGATATGCTCTCTGACAGCTTCCGTCGCATTGGACACATCGATGTGACACCATTCGTGGAGCTATGCAGTGGGTATATCTCGCCAGGGCAGCGTGAGCTCAACCATTTCGGTCAGGGCAGAGCCGTTTATCCTCTGAATCATCTTGTGGATGGAGATACATTGGCAAAGCTACAAGGGCAGCTGAAGCTGCAAAGCCCTCTGACACTAGTCAACGTGTCACAAATGCTCGCTAGTGGGATCAAAGGCGATGTCACCCTTGAGCTCAAGATCGATGACTTCAGCCAGATATACGGGAAGACCGTTACAGTGTTAGACGGCTCCCGCTATGTCCGCCAGCTCACTATTGAGACCGCGAATGTAGCCCTTGGAGCTCTGCCTATCGGGGTGTATACTTTGCGTCTCCCGCTGGGGCGAAACAGTAAATATCAGGTGGATCAGCGCTATCTTGTTGTCAAACCTGGATCAGCTCAAGTGCAAGTGAGCTTTGTCCCTCAAACTGGTTCTCAGGTAGCCAACCAAGAGATCAGGCTGCTAGGCCTAGGGGACAGTTTGTTCAGCACCATACTAGTTGACCAAGCAAACCATGTCGTGCAAGTAGCTGTGACAAACAAAGACCCCCATTCCTATTTTGGTAATGAAAAATACGCAGAAGTCGTTATCAAAGATAACAGTGGGCAAGAGCAGTTTCGCGCCACAATGCCAGGTGTCGGGGCAACACTACGCAATGACAAGCTACCCTTCAAGCCGGGCTATACACTCGAGGTTTATCATGCGGAACCCAGCCACCGTATTCAGCTGAGACCAAACTTTGACGGAGTGATCGACCACACCCAAAAAACGAATATCTTCGAGATAACCGCCAGTGGTCTCAAGAACCAGTCACTCAACAACGACCCGCTGGCTGCCTTGCTAGCGCGGATAGAAGCAGCGGCAACTGCACTTCGTGGTCACCCTACTCTGTTAAACGCCGATTGTCCCAGCAAGGTAGATATTTGGCTGGCTATCGGCCAGTTTACCGGCTCTCAACGCGACGATCTGCTGAAAAAATATTCCGACTGCATACCATCTGACAATAACGCACCCAACGAAGGTCTCGGCAATTCCTTCACGGCTGCATTCAAAGGCATCGGGGATTGGCAGTTCCTGACGGCAGAGTTAGACCTAGTTGGAAGGAAACTGACTGTAGCTTTGAAGGACGGTGTAGCTCATCACTATTTCAATGCCACGTACGCCGCCTTGCAGGTTCTAGATGCCGATGGAAACGAGCTACTTAATCTGGATGTCAAGGGCAGCACATCTCAAACGGCAAGAAACTGGACCTTTCCTATTTCTGGCTACGGAGGAGAGGTGCTCAATATCCGTCATGAGGAAGCGCCCACTCGCCTGTTTGTTAACAACAACATGCGGGAGCTTCGCTTGTCTAATCGTGAAACAAGGCAGAGTTACCGTATGACGTCCACGGGGCTCAAGCTTATTACCAAAAGTTGACTCAGGAGACAGAGGCAGTCTGGACTTTTGGTCTGCCTATAGGGATACGGTGTGGGGTGCAATAGTTTTGATTGGTCTAGTGGCTTCTCACTTCCTTTTACAGAGTCTGCAGTCATTTCATAGTGTGTAGAAACCTGCCTCGGCGAGAGAGTTGATTGTCTTGTTTAGCTAGAGGCTCAAATACGAGAGCGGCTGAATGACATTTTACTATTTGCTTTTCGGGGCTCACAGCCTGGAACTGTTTTGCTTCATTCGAGGTCCATCATATGGTCCTTTAATGCAAGCTTTAGTGTCGAATACAATTTGCCATGGGAGGCTTTGTTCCAGGGCGCTGTGAAATATGGTTTAACTTGCACCTTTCAGACTTGAGAAGGAATACACCCTAGTGGTCCAAGAGATATTATCTAACTGGTGGGTTTAATTATGGCGCTCGGCCTAAGTTGGTCAGTCTTGGTATGGGGCAGGCTGAAGCTTCCATCCCGTTTGCCCTGAGTGCCCCATTTCTTAGAGCATGTTTCGCGGCAGATGCCTAGGCCGCTTTACCAGTACTGATTGTAAAGTAATTGGTGGAGCTGGTCTCTACGCTGTGGCACAGAATCAAACTCCATAAAGAAAGACAAGAAAAGCTAACTTCTGATCTCAGGGGCATTCTCAATGAGGTTGGCCCAGTCTACTTTCACAGACAGTGGAATTCACATAAATTGTCTGTGCCTCGACCCCAGAAAGTACTGGAATTCAACAGGGTCCTGATTTTTTCACTCCTTTCTCTTCGTGTTCATTGTCTACAATTCTATCCTTTCTCGTTAAGCGGCCTGCAAAAATGTACTGGCCGTTGCTTGTCTTTGCCTCGTTCCTGGTAGCATTGGCTGCGGGCAACGACACGACTCCCGTAAAACGAAGCATGCCCACTTCCCCTCGCGACAGAAAGTACATCTTAAAACAGTGCCCTTGGATGGAGATACGCGGTCCACAGCCTCGAAGAAACCAACAATATGCCCCTGCATAAAGTCTGTTCTCGGAGTGCAAGACTAACAGGGATGCTGGCGAAGTGACGGCAGGTTTGTGTCTGAACAGATGCCTTGGTTGGGATAAAACAGCGCATAAGTTTACCGCAGAAAAGAAGTATGTCCACGTTATCTATATGGAATCAGCAATGACTGACAATATTAGTGGAAATGGACTTGCTAGTTGGAATGGGAATTGTTGGAACTGCCGTTTCCAAAGAAACGAACAAGGCGACAACGTTTTCTGTCACTGCGCGAACGTGCCCGAGCCCAAAGACCATACCGACCGTGTTACAGGTGTAAAAATGGGTCTCAGGAGTTTCAACCTAGGTGAGTATTTTGTGCAATAAAAACCAGACTGTTGTGTTAACTGATTGTTTGTAGATGGTGTGTTGGAGCTTGGCACCGACGGTGTTCTAAAATGCCATGGGATATCTGGACATTGTTGAGTAGATATGAGATTGTCTGGTCTAGTCTCTTGGCTAGGGAGAAGGTTTAGTAACAGTTAGTATTGATGAATCTTAGCTTAATCTCTGTATGGTTCAATACTGTTTGGGTTGTCTATTCCTGTTTTTTATCGAATTGACAGATCTGTATTTTTTCTCAAGCATAAACCGGACATGTAACTGTGAGTGTAGGCCATGAACTACACATAGTAGGATATCATATACTGAATCATGATTCATGTTTAACCCAAAAACACACAAGATGGGTTCGCCAGCTATTACCTTCAATATCTCAGTTCCCCAGCTCTATATTATACATATTGGAGACGGAGTCAGCTTGGAAAATCTGGGTTTAGTAGTCACAAGATACAAACGGCCACTATCAATGGATTCCTATCCCTCCGTACTGAAATGGAGCATTGGACAATGTTTCATTTTCTCGCCAATGGGACCATAGCTCTATTCCACTTCTGCTGTAAAACTAGCTAGGACTGCTCAAGATGGAGTTCCATAAACCCATGACGAACATGGTCGTGCACAAGATATTGCTTTCTCTGAAGTTCAAAGGGTTTACTAATTCTTGAGGTCAGCCATATCAGGCAAATTATCAGCCTTGCTATGACAATGTTGTAGTTCCATGGGTCACACGGATGGGAAATCGAGAACAACATGGCTTTCATCAGACTCTATACTCATTAGTGCGATGCGCTCGGCTGCCGACACCTAGAATCTAAAATTGAGCTGTTGCTGGTGTAGCTGTCCGAGAGCCTAGATTCGTAGCCATATCATTGTTTTAGTTGAGAAAACGAAGGGTTATAGGTATAGCCATGACGTAGTGTGGCTAAGATGAAGCTATGACGCTACAAGAATTCGAGCTGACAGACAACTGTTGGCAATGCTCTTTATTTTATATCCAATCGCAATTCTACGGCTATGATATAGCAAATGTGACTTTCTTGACTATTAATTGGGAAACCATCCAAAAGACAAATATTGACGTTCATCTTAACCCAGTCTGATACCTCCCATGCTCGACACGTAATCATCCAAGCCTTCATTACCATGAAGATTCTTCCTCGATTTCCCCAATCCTGTCGATGTGGCCGCTAGAGCCTTCGCCATTCCGGAGCGTAAAGATTCCATCCGTGCATTGGATGGTCCAATACTACCAAGCACAGGAGCCTTCGGAATTTTCCCAGACGAGTTTCTAATCAAGCTTGCGCACCTCAACTTGCCATCACAACTAGGCACCAATTAGCTTACTTTGTCTTAGTCTATAGATGTGGGCTATCCAGGGCAACCGACTGTTGCCGAGCAATGATGACTCTCCGAGCATATTACACAAAAGTCGCAAGCTATGATTTGCCCATGTTTCGAATGACCATAGGTAGGACGCAATGTGTGGTTTATACACATCTGATGTGCTATCAATCTGCATTGTCATTAAGGATCTTGAACAATATTAGTTCGGTGTATATTCACATCGTCTCGCGGATCAAGGCATGATGTTACATCTAGAAGCACGCCTAACAGGGGTATATGAAATCCAACACTATCCCGTGTTACGAGTATACTCTGCTGACAAGAGGAGGGGCCAAAGTAGGTGCACACGCACTCTAGTGTGCAATGATAACAGAGTGGCTTAACAATGCATCCGATCCGGCCTCCGGCCCTAGGAGCAGCCCAGATGCTAGCGGACCTAAATGATGCTTATTTGAATCCAGACTAATTTACTCAGATGCTGCTCTATGCTACTGGATTGTTGGTATTCTATAGCAGTCTCGACGAATATTTAAGTAACGAGGAAACCCACACAGTTCTGCTGGTATTCAAACTTGAACATCCTCCTCTGGTCTTAAACAAACGCAAGCTTTATCTTCTACAAGCCTCACAAGATCCACAGTATTGTAAGTCTATGATAACTAATTCACTATGTATACAATCAGTAACTAACCCCTCATCCAGCACAATGCAGTTCACATACACCGCCATCGCTCTCGCCCTGGTGACCGCCATCTCAGCCCAGAACAACTTCGTCATCATGAGCTGCAACACCAGCCCCATCCCCTGCCAGGCTGTTGGCATACCCTGCAGGAATGAAAATACCCCCTGGGCCTGTCCTGTCCGTAGTGACCAGGTGGCGAGCTTCGAAGCCAGCTGCCGCAACATCAATGCCTTTCCCGAGATTCGCGGATCTGGCTTCACCTTGAGTGACGCCAAGCAGACAGCTGGATGCAAGGTCTAAGCAGAGCGGCATTCAATGGCACGGCACGGTAGTGACGTTAGCAAATGGTTCAAGTGTGTTGACAAACTCTTGTCATTCTTTAACAGGCCATAACTGGAGGATTTCGGTAGTCAATTTACTCGAATACTGTCTCTCTCGGGGTTAAGGCTGTAGATCAGTAGCGAGGCCTTGATCGCAATATCAGTAATGTGGCGGCACTGCAACTTTAGCTCAACGGAGGGTTAATTAAATGACTATGCTGATACAGAAAGCAGAAAGTGAGGCTGACCCTGCAATTCTAGCATGGGCTGGAGAGCTCTGCGGTCAGCCTGATCTAGGCAGCCACGTACTGCAATTTTAGGGCCTAGGAGACGTTGACCTTATATGTAGTCTTTGTCAATATGCAGCCCAGGGTCCCGGTGTGGAGTACATATTGGTAGAGATTCCAGCCGCTAAGTGGTCCTATAGTATTTAGGCTTGGATAGTCTCAATAATCCCAGACCAATGAAGTCATAAGAATGGACTGTGTCAGTATCACATTATATCACACTCACTGCACTTTTAGCATCCACGAGGGGACGTTGGGAGGGGCAGCTGGGCTTATCTAAGCCCTCCGACTCAAGCCTAGTTCAGCCTCGTCTTCAGCAGTGAGATCAGTGCTCTTCACAGCTATATAGGTTTGCATTTCTTCCCCTTATCACAGCCCAGGTGCTAGTGACCTCAAGCAGAAGATCCATAGGACCTGTATTCCATCGTTACAGCAGCATTGATAAAGCAAGCAACAACGATGTCGCTCAGACCACTTCTCAACCCGACAGACGAGGACGATGGAGACGACTGGACAGATGATATGCGGCGTGTTCGTCCGAGGCTCGAAGTGCCTGTTGACTGGTAGTTGATGGTCCCGCTATTTTAATGTAGTTTATTGTTGATGAGACTAGGGCTCTGAACCCATCAGAGGACCACATTGATTCAATCGTCTATCCGACAGATATGTCGTTCAATCATTCCTTTGGCGACCAAGACTCAATATTTGTGGATCAGCTTGAGCCTATTCCAGGGCTAGATGCCCCTCCCTTTGATCAAAGCTCCTTTTTGCAGCCGGTGCCCGATGATGTAGGGTTGAGTGGTACATCCATGACATCAACGCCTGGGATGGACTTTACCGATGGGCCGGCGGGTAGCGTTGACGTTTCGATGGTGGATGTCGCATCCAGTGAGCAGGGAAAGCAGGTCTGCTATGGGATGGTTGGTCACAATCCCATTCGCAAGCATCAGAGGTTAACATAGACTTAGCTCGTCCACGAGAAGGTTAAACTAGTTGGGAAAGGCCAAGAACTAGAGACTAAGATCCTAGCACTCAAAGAGAATAACCAGCATATTCACACCCTTAGCATCCAACCATCTGGCGACGGGTCACTCTTCCTCAGGTTTCCTGACGGCACGGATCTAGGATATCTATCGAGAAAGATGGAGCAAGCGTTGGAAGCACTTATTTGTTTGCCCTTATTCGAGATCGATGCTCTCACCAATCTCAATTCGCTCGTTGAGTCCCTGCGTCGGGCTGGGAAGCCAGCTGATGCGGCGACCCGCGTGAGCATCAACGTTTATGGAAGAGAGTCTGACCGCGATGAAGTAGGCAGAGAGCTTTCAAAGAAGGATCTCTTCCTCCAACACCCCGATGACTGTCGTGTTGGGATCAAATATGATAATCCACATATTCTACGGTTGGATGGGATGGATGAGACAGACACCGAGGATGACGAGGACGTAAACGAGGAGGGAGTATTGGAAGCTACGCCTGAGCGGGACGAAGGCTTCGATGAGACCATTGCGGAGGTCTTCAATTCGCTACAGCGAGGTGATCATCTTACTGAACTGGGAGGGAGCGAAACATTGAACAGGACCTTATACCGGTCAGTTGCCAATTCTGTACTCCTTCTGCAATGGTCTAGAAGCTGATTCTTGCAATGTAATAGGCATCAAGGAGAAGCGTTAGATTTCATGATACAGCGAGAAACAGGCGATATCTCAGAAGACAAGTATCGCCTCTGGCAACCAAAATCTGTGGGCCGGGGGCAACTGTAGGAACTCCCACTTCACGTATGAAGCATTGGCACTGACTGGAACTAGGTATTGCCATATCATCACTGGCAACGAGCAGCAAGAGCAACCTGACGAGAGTGGTGGAGGAATCCTTGCTGATGAGATGGGCATGGGGAAATCCCTTACGACACTGGTTCTTACGGCAAAGACATTGCGCGAAGCACGTCAATGGGTAGAGACGAAGGCTCTACCAGGAGCTTCCCTTGCAGAGACACCTAGTCGAGCGACGTTAGTCATTGTTCCCTCACGCGGTAAGGGCCTTCACGCCGCAATGATATGAGCAAGCTAACTTTTAAAGTGTTGATTAACACCTGGGAGAGGGAGGTTGACGAGTAAGAAATTCGTCACCGTGTTGTCCTAAGACACTAACAATCTTCCAGTCACCTTAATGGCGGCATGAAGATGATGAGATACCATGGACGCTCGCGGAAGGAGCTAATTAGCAACATCGACCGATATGATATTGTCATTACCACGTATAACACCCTTGCAAAGGAGCATGATGCGAAGATCCTCGGAAAGGGGCAGAGCCCGCTACATAACTTTGCGTGGTATCGAGTTGTCCTGGATGAAGGTCGGTCACTGACATGGATAATGTCTGCATGAGGCGACGATGTTAACCCGGTTCAGCCCACATGATACGTCGCCGTAGCACAACCTTTCATAGGGCTGTGGTCGAACTGAGAGCCAGATCACGCTGGTGTCTGTCGGGAACTCCTATTCAGAACAGTTTAGGCGATCTAGGCTCACTACTGGCCTTTATACAGCTAAAACCTTTCCACGATCCCAGAAACTTCAGTCACTGGATAGCTAATCCTTTTGGAGTCAGGGCAACCAAGCGGAAAGCAATCGAAAGGCTCACACACCTTCTAGAAGCTGTCTGTCTCAGACGAACCATTGAGCGTGTTAACCTGCCAGGCCAACGATCAGAATTACGCCGTGTGCAATTTACTCCTGAAGAACGTGCTAACTATGAGCTTACAAGAAAAGACATGAAGCGATTCATCCACCAGCAGGCTGGGGAGCACAATCAGCAAGCAGAGACATTCGGCATGTTCCAGGTCTTTTTGCAGCTAAGGAGCTTTTGCAATCATGGAACATACCAGCCCCGGTTCTCTTGGGCGAAGAGGAACCTGCTGGAGGATGAGCTGGACCCTGTCTGTTCGATGACAAGGGATAGCTTGAACCGCTGCTCAGGTTGCCGACAACCTTTGCCGGTTATGCCACATGGCAGGCAGCCAAAGTATGTAGAAAGTTGCAAGCATGTCCTCTGTGATGACTGTTCGTGGGGCAGCAGCATTCAGTCAGACCCAGAGGAGAGGCGCCACTGTCCACTATGTGAATCTCTTAGGGGATCACGCTACCGTGGCCATATACCCACCGCGTCAAACCAGAGAAATCGAAGCGACGCAGATTATCTGAACGCGGACGGTCACTCATCCAAGATGAGGGTGCTTATATCCGACGTGCAGAGGGATATAGGGGCAACCAAAAGGTATGGTTGATTAGTGCAAGCCGTTCTTATCACTGACAACGGTGCAGTATCATTTTCTCATGCTGGACACGGACCCTTGATCTGATAGCAAAGCATCTGAAAGTTTCAAGTATAGAATTTGAGCGCATTGACGGCAAAACACCAACATCTCAGCGCCAAAATATCCTTGACAAATTCGACGGCACCAGAGCGGTTCCCGTGTTGATCATGACAACAGGCACAGGAGCTTTCGGGTACGGCCTGCTCTCCGATGGTTCCTACTTGTGAAGAATACTCTGGCTGAAGTAAAGCAGGTTGAACCTAAAATCCGTCAATCGGGTATTCATCGTCGAGCCGCAATGGAATCCTAGTGTTGAGAGCCAGGCTATTGCACGCGCAATTCGTCTTGGTCAGGAGCAGCAGGTTCTAGTCACCCGCTACCTTGTTGAGAACAGTATTGAGGAGGTCAGATATACCTTTTCTGTTGATGCGTAGTCGTTCATGAGCTAACTGTGTCATTCCTACAGGCCATGTGCTCTCAGCAAACGCAGAAATTGAAGATCAGCCAGATGGAGTTCAGAAAGGACCTGGAAGCATCTGCTGCTGGCGATGAAGGAACATCCGACTATCCTTCAGCTATGCAATGAAACCGGTACCATAGAGACATTGTCAAGGCTCACTGCCCTTCGGCTTCGAAGCAGATCGTTAGCCACGCACCGTTCGATAGATCCACATGTTACCTGTTAGTGACAGATCTACAATCATAATCGCGTTAGATGATACACTCCAATTTCATACTCTCGCTATGATACACACGCAATAAATGTATAACCCCAGCCTGCACCAGGTCCGGTCAACCCAGGGAATCTGATCGATTAAGCATCTTTAATGGTCAATAATGTAGAAAAACTAGAGCAATTGAACAATGTCCATTCCCGCCATCTACACTACCAGGCGTTCACATCGAAGTTTTCCTAGACGAATGTTAGATGAGACGGACTCCGGGATGGAAGACAGGGACTTACCTCAGAAAAGTAGGTCGTCACCACGGTCCGGTCAGAGAACTTCCTACCAGCAAGCGCCTTGAGCGCGTTGGTTGTTGATTCCACCGTGTCGAACTTGACAAAGATCTTGCCCACACCGGGAGACTGTCTGCTGCCGCCGGAGGGACGGGGAATCTTCAATTCAACTACCTGACCATACTTCGAACACTCCTCGCTCACATCATCGCAGATTTCTATCGCCATTAGTAAGCTACAAAGATGGCATAAGGTTAGTACGTACCTTCGTAATCATCGTTGTCCATGAGCTCCTCGGGCGTCACCATATTCAACAGCTGCAGCACACGGCTGGTCTCCAAATCTTGAGAAGTGGTCTTGGCAAACATCGACATCGCATTGACACCCATGTCGAGTCCGGCGGCCTGCGTTATTCCAATACTGGCGCGCACAACCTTGAGATGTCTGTCACCCAGTTCCATGCCATTGAGTCCTTCCACGGCAATGCTCGTAGCATTAGGATCAGCGTACTCGCAGAATGCAATTCCCTAACTAAATCAGTCGCAGCCCATAGTCAGTCGTTCAGCAGTACTTACCCGAGACTCCTCCGTTGAGCTATCCTTAACCAAAACAAAAGACTTCAACTCGCCGAAGGACTTCAGAAGCATGGTGACAGGCTCTTCCGGAATGTAATGAGGAATATTTGAGACACAGATCTTATTGGGCGAGTCAGGAACCTCGTTCAGCAATACGCCCTCTTGGTATTCCTGCTCATTGCCACTGGGAACAATGTAATCCTTGGGCCGCCGTACTTCAAGGCCCTGGGGTGCTCCATTCGCCGCTCCGTTGCCGGAGGCTTCATTCTCATCCATCGTAATTCCGTCGAAAGCAAGCGCGACTGTAGCATCGTTCGGCGACTTAAATTCCAGGAGTGCAAAGCTACGATCATCGGACACTTGGGCTGAGATGCAGGGATCCACACTGTGAACGACATTCAGGCCGTTGAGCTGAAGGTTGAAGAAAGACAGCAAGTTCTCTCCCGTTGCACTCGCAGGAAGGTTGGATACAAACAAGCGCTTGGCCTGGCGGGAGTTGGATGGTTTCAGGGAGGCGCTCTCTGCCGTTCCAGCACCGGGCTGGCTCATGAAAGCCTGCAGGCGACTAGGATCCATGGGTTGCTGTCGTGGGGCACCAGGAAGCGGGAACATGCCTGCAAAGTAAGTAAACTTTCTCTATCCAACACATATCCACGGGCATATGAAAGCAATCTCACCTGACAACTTGGCCTGCTCCGCAGTCACATTCTCGTAACCAGGAGGCTTAATATCCCATTGCGTCAGACGACGTTTTCGAGTCAAAACCGATTGTACTTCTGTCAAGTCGGGCGTCGCTTCCCTCTTCCGAGGAGGTGGCGACGCACTCCTTCGCCTTTCTCTCCTGTCGCCGCCGCCGCCGCCGCCGCGGTCGGCACGATCGCCGCGGTCGCGCTCACGGTCGCGGTCTCTGCCATCTCGTCTAGGTCTTTCTTCGAACAAATCTCCTCGATCCCTATCGCGTCGGATGACCGATCATCGTAGTCTCTGCGTCGGCGATCGCCACGGTCTCCACCGCGGTCTGCGCCGCGGTCTCGGTCCCATTCACGATCATCCCTCCGGCTGGAGTAGCGGTCCTCCCGTTCTCTGGCGCGATAGTCACGGCTCGACGAGTACGTATCTACTTCATGTTCGCGTCGGGAACTTCTAGAGCTGTAGTGGGGGGATCTCGAACGTCTTCTGTCTCCTCTATCTCCTCTGTCTCCGCGCTCTCGTCGCTCGTCGCGCTGATAGGGCTTACGTTAGTATGAACTGAAGGCAACATGACAGCCATGAAGCACTCACGTAGTAATCCCTGGAGCGGCCAGAGTCTGCGACCATAACGATTAGATGACCATTCCATGTGACAGCTAACAGTGGGAGTGCACTGCGAGTACTGACCTCTGGACGAATACGTATCGCCGTTCATACTGAGCTCAGATTCGTTGCTCCTTGCTGTTTCTGGTTGTGGGTAAATTTATAAAAGCAACAGCCCTCGGGATATGCCTCTAGTCAAAATAAGCGGGCAACAGGGCAGAGAACCAACAATCCAGGATGAGGGAGAGGATGCTTGCACGACGGAGCTGCGCTGAGGAAAACTCCAGTCGTGACGATCGGCGAGCAGCCGCGGCGTCTAGAGTCGAAGCGGTTAGCGCGTGTGTCTGCGGAGTTGACCGCCTTCTGTTTTCCATCCGAACTGGCAGAATCTTTATCTGCCCTGATATGATAGGAGTCTCTTTTTGAAGTTTCCAGCTGATTCAGTACGGTTATCATGACTGTCGGGGCTTTTTCAGAATGGCGCAGACTGCCAGTTAGTCTCAGCGAGCTATGCATTAACACGACGCTCCGTTGTGGGCAGTCATTTCGGTGAGCGCTGCCCCTTTTTCTCCTATACATATCCGGCGCATTGGCTAATTGATCTAGATGGCACAACGTGCCTGACAGCGATGAATGGAGATGTGTCCTCCATGGTCGCCTCCTATCTCTCAAGCAGGACCCGACACATCTACATTATAGGACTTATTTACCCCCGAAACTGTCCAACCCAGCCCCTCTCCCAACACCACCTTCATCACATCCGCCCTCTCGTGCCGACTCGGACAAACCTCTAGACCAACCTCAATCCGCTAAAGATGATATCCTCCCTATTCTCACACACTACTTCAATCTCGCCTCCGATCTGACATCTCTCTATTCTCATTGGTCCTCCAATGACCCCAACTTCAAGAAGAAAGCTCCTCAATTCACCGGAATCCGCATCCTACGTCAAGACGCCTGGGAGGCTCTAGTCTCCTTCATCTGTAGCAGCAACAACAACATCGCGCGCATATCCCAGATGGTCGAGAAACTCTGTATCAACTACGGCCCCTTCATCGCCTCTATCGACGGCCGCGCGTACCATGACTTCCCACCACCCGAGGCCCTGGCCGGCGAGGATGTAGAGAGTCGGCTGCGGAGTTTGGGCTTTGGGTACCGTGCCAAATACATATACCAAACGGCCGTGATTGTCTCAACGCAGCGCGAGAAAGGATGGTTGGATTCTTTGCGGAACCCCGAGTCTCCCGCTTTGGGGGTTGAGCCTGCGCCCGGTGGAGAGATGAGACCGGAAGGCCGAGAGGGATATCGCGAGGCACATGAGAAGCTGCTCGAGTTACAGGGTGTGGGGCCCAAGGTTGCAGATTGTGTCTGTCTGATGGGGTTGGGATGGGGAGAATCTGTTCCTGTTGATACCCACGGTACTTTTCCCATCACTATTTCTTTTAACGGACGTTGTCGAATGCTAACTCATTACCGAACAGTGTGGCAAATAGCTCAGAGAGATTACAAGTTTGGCAAAGGTGCTCATAAATCGTTGACAAAGGCTACATATGATGCCGTGGGCAATCATTTCCGCAAGCTTTGGGGAAGCGAGGCTGGTTGGGCACAGAGTGTTTTGTTTACGGCTAACTTGAGGTCATTCTCGGATCGACTCGTTGCTTCGAAGAAGGAGGTGGAAGTCAAGGTCAAGGACGAGCCCGATGAGGATCGCAAAACTGAGGTTACGACGAAAATCACTACTACTACAGCCGTGGGTGTGAAGAGGTCTGCGAGCGAAAGCAAGGTGAAGACCGAGCCCAGTGATGAGAAGGATGTCAAGACCATTGTTGAGACGCAGACGACAAGACGGATGTCAAAGCGGCTTCGGAACCGCTAACCAGTCATTTGGGTTGTTCACGTCTTCTAGATGTGTACTGGAAAGAGTAATATGTAGATGGCATAGAATGTACCGAGTATATGCACAGCTCCGATACACCTGGGTTTTATTCAACAGACAACCACAGCAACCCCTACCGCGCCACAGTATTGCTGTAGATCTGGTGCTGGATCTTAGTACTATCTCCCTAGCCACGGCAGTTGATCAAGCATGCCTAGGTGGGTGAGTGCGGGTTTGCAAGATTCGAATGATCAATCCTAGTATTGTTCGGTGACGCTTTTTAGAAGTCAGAAAAGTCCTTTGTACGAATTGCATCACCATGGTATTCTCGACAAATACATAAAACTACTATCCTAGCTTTTATTTTTCAGGATGTTTAGTCTATAGAATGCGCCAAAGTAACCTGACAACGTATGCCAGCCAATTCAGCATCCCGGGTACCCGTATATAAAAAACCAGCCCCGTCACCTCACAGCACCATAGTCGCCAGAAACTGAGAACATGGAAGGAATATTATGGGAAAGGATTTATCAACAAAGAAAAATTCTCAAGCTTAACAGCTCTATGCCGTATATACCTCGTCTCCTAACCCAGCAGGCTCGTATCTTAAGTCTCAGACAGATAGCCATAATGAGACTTCAGAGTAAGTTTCTCATACCATTCCACATTACGTCAAAGTGATGTACACGTTTTTAATTCTTGACGCATCGCCAATAATGTGTGAGACAGGCCTCCGACTTTCTCGCCCTCGCACCACCAGAGGCAACGGAAGTGTTCACCATGCACGGTGTGGCAATTCATCAACTAGATTAATATGGTTCAATTCAGCTGTTGTAGCTAAACCTGTGTGAATCTATTATCGAAACACGAAAAGCCTCATGGGCTGGCCTGTTTGGTAAGTTTAGATACTTCACAGTCCTGCTAATGTTATTGGAATATTGAAGCCAGGTTTAAATGACTGGTATTTGATTAACTATAATTTGTCTATTCTCCTCCTCCTCTAATGACCACCTCACAAAATATTGGTTGCAAAAAAAGCCGACAACGGCTGTATGTTCTATCCAGGGCCCTGGTCGTGGTTGCAAAGACTTCTTGAACGCATCATTGCACCATTTCTCCAGGACGCGGCCAGCGTAGTTCGTCTCGCCATATCCCGGTATTCAGGGTATCATATTGCAAATACGCACCTGCTGTTTAGTTGGTGACGGTCCTCCGTGTCTGGATTTGATTTGCTCACCATCTGAGATGCACTGACCCCATGTTGGGTAGATCGAAACACCATTATAGGATCGCTATGGTATCATTTTAGGGGCACAGACGGGGACATGTAGCAGTCTTATGCGTCCTTGGAAACTATACGTCAATGTAGATATGACTATCCTGTGTACTAACATCAACAGTCTAACGATAGACCCAGTTGAAGAATCCCTTTTAGTCTTCATTTGAAATGAAGTTGCTGAGTTTTCTTGTTTGGAGATTGATATCCTCCCACAAGAAAGCAAAGCCACTCTGTGTGAATATGCTTTAGGCAGCTAAACACATGCTTCTCTGCATCAAGACGTCAGCCAAACTCACGACGGTAGAGCTTCATGGAAACTCTGTTGGGTTAACCGAACATCGCACACTCGGCAACGTCAGAGGTACAACCAGTCTTGACAAATAAATCAAGATATCTGAGCCCAACAAATCTCCCACTTGCATTAGTGCCTGTAAGTATCCATGCATGTTGAATGGTACCGAATCCCCGAATTTCCCGCGGTGTTATCTCGGGTACCTGTAGCGAGATTCTTTGTTCGCAAGCCACGATACATCGAGGCGCTATGACCCATGGTAGCTCTTTCAGGAGCTTCGCAGGTCAAAGCTTGACAGGAGCTCAATGGCACGGCGGTACCTGATTCTGCAAGCGCGCCATGGCTCGGCAAACGCATACCGATTCATCGTAACAAAGACCGGCATGTCCTGCAGATGACACCTAACGTCTTTGTCCTCGACGCCTCGGAAACCCCAATATCCAAGCTGTCTCGACTCATTAAGAGAATGTCAACAAAACCTAATATCAGCCGCCGCCCGAAACAGCAAATGCCATCCCTAGGGCCAGGTCAAGTGATCACAGGCCTTATCAAACCCTATCCCCAAGGGTATATCAGTATATCATATACTGTGTAATATCGGCACTCGCCACCACCGCCAAAACACTGATTAAGCCCGGGCACACAAAGAGCGTCATGTTTTGTAATAGCTCTGTCGGCTATCGCCGATTGAAGTGGAAATCAATCAGCGTGCGACATGTGAACGTGGTCCACCCTGAACCCTCGGCCCAAGCTCATCGTTTCCTGTCTAAACTAGGGACGAACCTTAACTGTCATTGCGGAAGACAGTGCCCCTCGCCTTCACCTACCGGATCAGATATGCCAGATAGCTAAACTTCAAGCTGTGCGACGTTGGACCAAGTTCAACGAGACTTTGGTCCGGTCGAGGCGTTGGTCCATGGTAGACTGGATGCACATCACAGGACGGAAGCTGTGTATCCGGCTCCCGAGATGTATCTTACTTCCAT